GGGCTGTTTCAGGGATGTGTAATGGGATACAGGACCTTCCAGTTAAGAGTCCCCAGCCTGAGTTCAAGCCAGAGTAATCACTAATGAAATACTCTTGCCATACAAGACCCCAAGACCAACACTGGTCTCTTGCCAATGTGAAACAGGGACACGAACACAGACCACTTCTTCACAGGTGTCTCATGACATGAATTCATCATCACAAGGAAGGTCATTTGCAGCCCAAAGGTCAGAGTTGGCTGTCAAGGCAATTTTATCTGAGAAGGTACAGCAATTGAAAACCCAACTGCTGCTGTTTGCAGTGGGAAAGCAGAGAGAGAAGAGGCCTGGTAGATCAGCTCTATGGTGTAGATCTAGCACTGTGCACACAAATCTGTGATCTGCTCCCCAAATACCTGGCAGAGAATAAGTGATCCCAAGTAAGTCAAACTTCTCCAACAATGCAGTCGGCATAGAAGTGAGCTAGCCTAGCAGCTGAGCCTGAGTTAGCTTCTTTTGTCCCAGAGGCTGCCCTGAGCTAAAGGGAGAGCACTGGCACTGCTCAAATCCTGGGAGGCAACAGCCCTCTGGTGAGTGTCCAGGCCGAGCACTGTATGGCATGGGGGAACCTCACATGCTGAAATGGCAACAACCTAACCTATGTTCCACTTACTGTGCTTAATTGACAACCTGAAATAAAAGTCATTCGTGGGAGTAAAGACAGAGAAGGGGTGGGAGGAACCAGCTCTGCTTCTAGACAAGACTGTGTAAATTACAAGGTCTTAATTACATTAAGTGCATTATGGTGCCATATGCACATCACTAATAAGGCAGAGATGGAGGAAATGGGACTAAATGCTAAAGCTGGAACTTGAATGCCCACATTCTAGACTTCATCTTTTAGACAGATTCTGAGCCACTTTGTCCTAGTTTAGCCATCTATAAAACAAAGGCAATAATCCTTTCTTCACAGGGGCGTTGAGAGGTTTAATTAATTAATGTTTACAAAGTCCACTGAGATTTTTGACTGACATTTGAAGTAATTCAGAATACTTTCTAAATGCACTTGTTTCTTCTACTGCACCACTCAAATGTCTTCATATTAAAATATCCAAAGGAGAAGAAGATGGAAACAAAAAAATATGGAGATATACACACAAACTAGTGGGGGAAAAACCCATCAACAACAACTTCAGCACTTCGAATCCACTTTTGTCCCATCAAAGCTGTCAGAATACTGCCATTTCTACAGATGAAGAAGCGTGTGCTTGCCCAAACACCTGCTACCTTTACCTTGCAGATCCCTTAAACTTAGATCTCAGGTATTTTTGTCTGTAGCACCGTGTAATAAACGGCAGAAATAACAGACAGTCATGTCAGGTTGACTGGTTCACCAGAGGAAGTGAAGGGGAGAAGAGCAAAGGGAAGAAAGCACCAAAAGAGAACCAGAAAGTGACAGAGAAAGAGGCAAGTTGAGTAGGGAGAAACCAATCATTAATAAAGGACTCCACACACTGAGCTGTTCTATGACACGCATTCCCACAGATGCTCAGGTACTGGAATACATTATTCAGAGACACTAGTCTAACATGAACAAGGCCACATGTGTGTCCAAGTGCTAGAGACAAACAGAATATTGGACACTCTTAAACGGACAAGCACACACAAGGAGCTGCTTGATACCTGAGCCCGGATTTCTCAGTCCCTACATTGTCCCCCATTTCGGAGCAAAACCTTTGTGTGGCCGGTTTCTGTAGGGGGCGTTTGTGGGTTCTGAGATACAATCAAAACGCAGACAGAGGAAATGCAAATGTCATTCAGCTCCCGTTCATTGTCAGGAAGGACACATGAGGATAAAACACTGTGCACTGCATCCCTCCCCTATTATGTGTCCTACTGCTTTTGTCCTAATTTATCCCATGCATAATTTATTTACATGTGTATTGTTTCCCGATCAGCAACTTTAAAGAATAAGTGAAAATTATAAAATGTTTTATTAAACAAGTTGTCAACAAAATTACAGATGGTGTCAGACAGCCAGTACCAATTCTGCTTCCTCCACATAGCCTTAGTACTTTAAAAAGCACACAGAGAAAAGCGAAACCAGCACTTGATGTCTATTGTTTCCTCCTCTCACACCCCCCAGGGGCGAGGGGAGGAGAAGGGAGCTAATTATAAATGGCCTCATCCTGTCCTTCCCGACTTTAGCAGCAGCGGGATCGGGCCCCGATTCATTTCGGCACGAGCAGCCCTTCGGCAGGATCCGCCGCGGCTGCCGGGAGCCCCACGGTGGCACGAAGTGCGAGGCGAGGCGGCAAGGTCCCGTCCGCCGGCGGGGCGGGGGCCGTGGCCGCTCCTGGGAGCTCCCCGCCTCGCCCCCGCCGTCCCCAGAGGGCACCGAGCCCGGGCTGCTCCGCTGCCGGCAGCGGCCGCGAACGGCGGTGCTCCGTGCCCAGGTGCACAGCACGGCGGTCCCGCCCGGCGGCCGGCAGGAGCACGGGGAGAAATCGCTGTCGCCTGCACAAGCGTCAAACCTGCTGTGGAACGGGGGGGGAACGCTGCCTCTGCCGCGCGGTTTTCAGAGCGCGTTCAGTCCCTCGCCACCCACCCATGAGGACACTCGGACTTCTTTGATTAACCCCCTGCAACTGCGCTCCCCTCTCCCCGCGGATTTTCATATCCGAGAGGGCGAGTAAATGAAAGCAAAGGTTTTTCTGCCAGGACGGAGCAGGAGAGCTGATAGACATGTCAGCACCCCTTCCCAGCTCGAGGCTTTCCTTTCGCTCCGGATCGCAAGAGACAGCGTCAGAAATCCCTGGAAAAACATTCAAGTGTTTTTCCAACTCCAGCCGGAGAGACTCGAGTCGGGGAAAAAAAAAATAGAAAAAGAAAAAACCTCGCAGCCCTAATTTCATCTCACAAAACTCAAAGGTATAAAAACACCCACTCAGCGCAGCCAGAAAGTGCAAGCGAAGCGTCACCGCCAGGTACTCCGCTTCCCTGCTTTACTAGCAAGAGCGCTGCCCCCGTTAGCAGGGAAGTCGTTTGAAAAAGGTTAAGATAGCTCCGCTCCCCACATACGGTGCCAAATCCCACTCTCCCTAATGCCTTCGGGGATTAGCGGCGTGCGCTGCAGACCACAAGGAAAATAAAGGACGCGATCCAGAAGACTACAACCGGCTCCCGCGGTGCCCCTCAGAAATCAGCCTTATTTCCAGACCGGGAACCCCGGAATACTTCCGCAGCAGAAGTACCTGCCCCCTCCCTCTCTCGAGCTGGGGTCAGACCCCGTCCGCACAGCCCTCGGCGGCTTGTGCCCGCTCTCAAGATGGAAACACAATCAACTCTCTTTGCCACTTCGAAAAGCGAAAGCCTGTCATATGCAAAACAGATCTCCGGACTTCCTGCCCAAAATCAGCGACCGGCAGTCCCGAGTCATTCATTTCACCCAAGTCGGCTTCCCTGCCTCTCCTCCTCGCTCCCTCTCCTGCACGAGCGCCGAGGCGCACCGGCAGAGCCCCCGCCGCCCCGCTTTCCGACCGCCCAGCCGAGAAGCGAGGGGGGTTGCTTCGTCAAGACATCCCAACTCCCCAAAGATTTGCGGAGGCAACTCCGAGCCGCGGTGGGAGCGCGGCGGCACCGCGCACCGAGCGCCCCCGCGGGCCGGTCCGTGCCCGGCCGAGCGCGGCGGCGGGCCAATTAACCCAACAATTTTTTCCTCGTTAATTTCGGCGCGAGCCGCGGGGATGTGTTGCACAAAAAACGAGCGAGTCGCTGGGGCAGAAAGGAGGGCGGGAGGAGGGACCCGCCGAGAGGCTGCCGGCACCCGGCTCCGGCTGGCAGCCGGCGCCGGAAAGGCGCCTTTTTTCATATTTAAACCACGCGGAATATGTACATTTTTGATTCCTACTTACGCTTTCAGGGGGTTGTGAATGACAGTCGCCATTTTGCTACAATGTAACAGAATATTGTGTCTCGGAGTTCTAAAGGTTCGCTCAGGGGAAGCGGCCAGCCAATGGCGGCGCGGCATACCGGCCCGCCGGCCAATGGCGCGGCGGGGGCGGGGCCCGGGCGCTGCTAGTTATTAGGGGAGCTGTCAAAGCCCAGAGGTCACTCCCTCTCCCTGGAACTGGCGGCGAGCAGGTCTTAAAGGGGCAGCGCCGCCGCCGGGGCCGCCCCGCGCCGGGGCACCCCGCGCTCCAGCGCGGCACTTCCCCGCCGCGCTCCGGCCCCGGCCCGAACGCGCCGCGCCGGGAGAGGGGAAGCCGGGCTCGCTCCTCGTCTCCTCGCTTCGCAGCCGCTGCCCCCTGTTTCCCAGGCGGCTTGCCCCGCCGGGGGAACGAGCCCACGCCGCCCGCTCGGTGCGCACGCTGCCCGGCAGCGTCCCTCCCGCGCTGCTTCCCTTTCCGCACAGCCGCGCTCCCCGCCAGGTCTCCGTGAGCCGCCGGTTCTGGCAGCGGCTTCAGGGCAGCGCCGCTCCCCCTCCCCCAGGAATTTCCCTCTCCCTGTCAGTCATCCCGGCCCGCAGCCCCTGCGCCCTTACATAACGCCCGGCCGGCCCTGCACAGCCCCGCTCCTCTCCCACGGAGCGACTTCTGGCGCGCCGGGAGCCGGGCCCCGTCCCCGTCCGGCACAGGGAGCCGCGGGGGGAAGAGCCCTGACCTGCGTTTCACCGGACATGCAGCACTGCGATGAGACCGAAGGCGGAGGCTGGACCCCGGAGCGCGGCAGGGAGCAGCGGGCAGAGCCCATTCCTGGGGAGGCAGCGAACTCCAGGAAGCCTGGGTTTACCTGCAACTAATTAAAGGAACTTGCGAATGAATTATGGAGCATGACCGAAGTGATTTAAGAGGTGTCAATCCTGATCTCACTCTCAGAAGTAAACTCACTGAAGTTCACAAAATTGCACCAGTGTAAATTGGGTGCCAATAAGAGCAGAATCAAACAAAGAAGTTTTTTACTTGTCTGATAATAGTCAGCTTTGTCATCTCATACTTTTCTCCCACTCTCAAAGGTCTCTTCAGGCATCCTCTATCCCTCTAAAAAAACACAAACAAGCACCACCAAAACCAAGCCTGCATCCCCATTCTTTGCATATATACATCCAGAAGAAACTCAACTAAGGACAATTAAAACACACTACTATCAAAGCAGTAAAAGTAAGGAAACTAGAAAAACATTTTCATTCACAACTTACTGAATAACAGAATGGAAGTACTGATGTTTGGTGAGATGTTACCAGAAGTAGAAATAGCAGTCTTCCTGGGTTGAACTTGAAAAAGCAAAGAAAACAAAAAAACTCTCTTGCTTCTCAACTACTTTACAAAATAAAACTATCCAATGCTGGGGCAAAAGAGAAAAGGAAGAGGAATGGAGAAGAGAAAGAGTATAATTGTTACTCACAGTGAGGACAGGTACACAATGCAGTGGTTTCCTGTTCATTAAAGATCATCAGAAGTTCGCAAAAAAGTTAAAATTTAGGATCTGTCTAGGGTTCCTCTTTCCAAAACTTTGCCTATTCCAACTACTAGGTCAACTTCGGTACTGTGCCAGGCATATATCCCTGGAGGGAAGCATCTCTTCCATCAAAGCAATCTAAGCCATTTGGTTACAGGCACTGCTTAGGAGAAATAAGCTTTCTGCTAGCTGGAGAGTTGCCAAGATGCTGAGATCTATCCCAAAACAGTTCTGGGAAGCAATCTTTAAGAACGTTTCCATTATCATATTACATTATATTATTTAATATCGTAGTGGTCCAGGTGACATTGAATGCAACTTCAGACCCTCCCTGCTCAGTACTCTCACTGCTCACAGGAAAAGCTAACCACAAACTGCCAACTTGTCACAAGCACACAGTTGATGTGTGTGCTGCAAAGAAACAAATGTCACAGCATGCACCTGAACTGGTGACCACCAAGTAGCAACCTACACCACATGTCACTACTCTGAGGATTTCTGGTTCGACTTCACTTGTTGCTGTGATAGTCACTTAATGGTGAACACTCGAGTACTTACTGTAGGATGGGCAATATTCACTCGTGGGATAATGATTTTGTTTTGCACATTAAAAAAAATAGCCTAGGACTGTATCACACTGCAGAACAGGAGATAGATTTGTGTTACTGAAAGAAGGTACCAAAATCTGGCCAAGCCCTAGAAAACCCTGAGATTTTCTAATGCAAACTGGTGACATTTTCAGATAATTAAAAAACCCTGTCTGAGGTCATGTTTAGAAGTTTAATGAGTCCCTCTGGTCCTTTTTTGTTGGATATATAGGCCCATTCCTGCTCTGCAGCAAAGAGCTCTTGGTGCAGCTTGGCAGGGAGTGTATTGCAAAAATGGGATGAAGCCACACATGCTTCCCTGGCTACTCCTGTTACTCAGATGTTGGGCCTTTATCAGCTACCAGCAAAAGCAACACACAGTGAGAACAGGCACAGATGACCTTGGATTGTTGATAGCCCTTTTCCCAGGCAGACCCCACGTTCCTGGAGAGGAGAACCAGTCAGCAGCATTGCCTTGCTCAAAGAAATCTCCAGGAGACCCAAGGAAAGAGCTGCCATATCAGAGCAGTGGGAAGTCTCACCCACGGTAAGGAAGACATCAGGCTTTGCTCACACGTCCATATAATTTGTCCACAGTGTTTTTCATGTAGAATCCCACAACAGTTAGATTACCATTTTAGCTGAAAGAAAAAGCACAGAACACTGACTGGCATTTTGCTTGTAATGAACTACAGAACTTGCTTACATGTTCACTATTTGCAAGCAGGGAGAACATCACAAATCTGTATAATAAAAATTTCACGTCACACCATAGTTACCTCCATTTTCACATATACATCAGTCCATTGTTGGTAGATCATTTATGACTTAAATTTTGGATTAATTTTTCTCCTGATTTTAGCATACTGTAAGTCACTAATCAGTAATTTTACTATTGTTTTATATTCTGAAGGACCAACAAAGCTGAAACACACTCAGTTACATATTCACTAAATCACATCTTCAGGATCTTTACATTTGTACTTAGTTACCGTTAATTAGTTTTATTCACACCTGAAACATAGCAAGGAGGCTGCAAGAAAGTATAAATAATTTAAAAGTATATGGCATAAAAAACCCTAGGTGGGCATATTCTTAACAAGAGCTTGCCAAATGTTTGGACAGCCAGCACATAAATTTTGAAAATAGAAGGTAAGTTTTGACACAAATCTATTGGGGTAATATCTACAGCATTAACACAAGGCCTAAGCATGCTGCATCTATAGGGTCAGAGTGAGCAGGGCTTTAGAAGAGAGTCCACCCCACCTCCAGCCCCTCATACAGAACTGCAGCTTGTCTCTACTCAAGAAGAAGAAACACAGTGTCGTATCTTCTCAGTGTATTGGGAAGTGACATGTCTCATGGATCATAATGCTGCTCTCCTGATCCACCTCTGTTTCAAACATTTTTACTATTTATGTAACACAAGCACATTGATACTTTTTGTGAGGTCTCATTAATATTCCTGTACACCCTGAAAAGCCTTATTTTAGCTGACAATATCTCGAACTGTGAAAGAATTTTTACCTTGTATTTATTATCTTCTGTTTTCCTTTTTATCTTGCCAAGTTTCAACGTAGAGTTGCTGTTTTCTGGAGGGAAGGAAAGTTAGGTTCTTATCACACATTCCTCAACTCTTGTGAATTGGAAAGTGAAACAAACTAGACACCCACATTAAAAGCCACAAATCTAATTTTGCTATGGAGGGAAACAAAAAACCAAGCTGAAAAATAAGTAGTTTCTGGTAGATTAGCAACTGTTTAATATTCTCAGGTATTTCCAGTGATTTATAGTTTTCTTTTCTTAATATATATTAATATTCAAAGTATCAGAGTCATATAAGTCTAAATAAGACAGAGTGCTGTAATGTAGCTTGTTACAGCAAAACAGGGCCCCACATGCAGAGATATCCTGCAAGAGATTTGAAGCCTTAACCCCTTTTTATTTATTAAAGCTGTGCAGGCATCTCTCATACACTGTTTCTTGTCAGCCCTCCTCCTCCCTTTCTTTGATCTTTACCAATAGTTGCTTAGCTGAAAGAGGAGGAAAAGATATCAGAGTGTCAGTGTTACAGACTCAACACCAGCCTTCTACAGACACATCCCCAAAAAATTTACATAGTCAGCATAACAAAGATAACTATGGAGCTAGACAGTGTAAAAATTGGCACCAACAATTCATTCTTCACAACTTTGGGAATCGTATCTACGAAAGTGATCTCAAATTTTTAGCCTTTTTTAAAGCTAAATTTCCCCTCTAAACCTATAGCAACAATTCTTGGATGTCTTTAATGCATCTTGATTTCAGGTCTGATTCTGTTATCCAGTTTTCTTTATTGTATGCACTATTCAGTTTTTTATCAAGTACACCTGAATTACCTGTATGCTGATGTCTGGACTCAAGCCCTTTATTTTTTAATGGGATATTCTGATAAAATACCTTTTAACACTAAAGAGGAGTCTCTACTGGTAAGATGTACATTGAGACCTCAATCTGAAGCTTTCAACAATTTGGGGAGACAGAAGTTATGTAAATTCCCAGAGCCTGGCTCAAGTCTGTCCCCAGTTTAATAAACTGCGGAAAATCTATTTAGTGTGGCTGCCAGAAGATTCTTTGTCATGCACTGTTTTTAAATTTCCCCAACAATAGAAAACAATGTTATGAACAAGCTGCTTCAAAAAGAGAGGACAAGTCTTTCTGGTAGCCACTGCAAACCCACAGTAATGTAGGAAAAGGAACCTAATAAAACAGACATATCCTCTAAAGAACACACATTTAGCAACTATGGCTGCCCCCTCCTTGAGGGGAGTCATTGGTAAAATTTAGATGGGACAAAACTGAATTCCCATCAAGAAGCACATAATAGAAAGCACCTGAGAACAACTTGTCAAAGTTTATTATGCAATTCCAACAGAGACATAGGTCTACCTGCCTTATTTCTTGAGAAACTAGTTGGGGGAAAAAAATCAAAATAATAAAAAAAAATTAAAGAATAAAGAAAAGGTGAATACTTTGGGAGTCCTTTTCACTCTTTCCTTCATTAAAGATAGGAAAAAAATGTTTTTACATTACATCCATCAATCGGATACAGAGGTGGTACCTTGATGCTGAAATAATGCTGTCTCCATCCTCTTATTCCCAGCAAAGATGAAAGTGAGTTTTGAAGGCGACTTAAACCTTGGAGGGAGCAGGTAGTATAGATTAGGGAACAGTCAATATATGATCTGACCCTCCCTAGAAAAGTTCCTCATTGCTACTCTGGAGTTCAGGGGTACTGTCAAGCTATGGTTTTAACCACCTGTAAACAAAAACTTCAAATGTGGTCCCAAAGGTGGTACAACAGGACCTCCTCTTGCCCACGATGAGAAAATGGAATATAATACCTTGCTAAACAATCTTATCTCTTACAAGCCCAGTGCACACAATATAATTATGATTCTAAAACAGGTTTAACATTTGGATTGAGCATAATGAATAGCACCCTACCTGAGAAAAAGAAGCTGCCACACTCATCCAAAGAAAGCGCTAACTTTGAATCTGCTGTTCATTTGAACTGCTTCACCTTTCCTTCCTTACTGATGACACCACCTCAAAGAAAGGAATGAGTATTTTGCTGTGACTATCTGCTTACTCCACTATGGTGATTTTTTTAATAGGGTAGGCAGAAGCGAGCTGTCCAGACACAGCTTAAATGTAATGACTGCAATTGTTTTCTTGCAGTATTTAAGTTTTCTTGTTTACAGAGTGAATTTTGGTCTTTGGAACAAACGCTATCATAAGTAGGCTGCTTTTGTAGCACGTGCAGGAATTACACAGCTAACAACAAAACCAGTCTTTTTAACTACATGGAAAATTAGATTCAGCATAAAAATCTCTCACTGGCTAGTGGTTTTTTTTTTTTTAGTTCAATACTTTTTGTGAAATTGTTTTAATTTCAAGAGGTTTTAAAATACTTTTATTAACACCTTTAATAGTTTCACCCCCTCTTCCATATAAATACAAAATAATTATAGTATTGCATTCTTTATTCTTTTTCTTTCCTTGTATTTTTGTTCCATTATTTCCAAAACAATCTGTAACTTAAAATATTTTTCATTTTGTAAAAATGTAAAGTAAGAAAAATAAAATCTGATGGGATGGTTGCACTGGAAATAAACATAAACACATAAACAGCAGTTTAGAATTAGCGAGGGGGTAAGAAGGCACTAGCTCATTTATTGCATTGATTGGCCAAAAAACAGAGGAAAATGGTAGCAAGGGGGAAATAAGATTATTTTAGCTATATCTTAAATCCTGATAAACAGAAACAGCTTCAAAAGTGTCATAAAACTGTTCTTCCATTTCTCATCCAACTTGACTTTGGTAGAGGGGAGAAACAACAGAAAATTGTGGATTGACCTGCCTAAAATACCAGTCTGGGCCTGGGTCAACTTTAAACATTGATGACTGCAACTTTCAGTGAACAAATTCAGTACTGGCATAACATAAAATGATCCTGGGAATCATCAGTCAATTATTGCAGTCAATGTCACAATGAAGCCAGCCCTGACTTATTTGCTCCCAAGTCTCCCCAACTGGAGCCTCCCCAACTGGAAATAATCTGATATAAACTTCCCCATGCCAAACAGGATCTCAGATCAGAATTCAGAATAATTTTGCTGATACTTTTTAACCAAGACAACCACATTGGTAACGTCCTTTACATAAAACTAGCACTGCCACAGGCAACATGTTATTTGTTGGGCTTTTTTGTTTACTCTTGTTTTTTAAGCAAAGGTAGATCAGCTTTGCTGTCAGGACACTTCCTTCAAATGCAGTAGCCACGTCTGCAACAGGAAGCTCTGTGACACACGTCTTGCTCCAGCCACTCTCCTCACACATCTAAGCCCTTGTGTCAAGTCTTCTACTTGCTCAGGCTTTTGCTAGAGCTGACAGGCCTTTGCTGACACTGGGACTGTGCTGCCTCAGCAGAAAGCACCTAAGAAGAACTTGTCAAAGTTTATTATGAAATCCCAAGTGACATAAAAGGCTGATGGGATACTGCTTGATGCAAGGCCCAGACTTTTGCTCTCTCTGATGCTTATTAGGCTGTTTCCAAGACTATCCTGTGGAATCCTTGTGCCATTCCAAGAAAGACTCCTAGTACAGGATTTACCAGGCATCTGTACAGACATAGGGACAGATTCTCATCTTTCATGTGTATTACTGATATGGACCAGTTTCTGGTGTGCCCAGATAGGCTATAGAGGCTCCAACTTCCTACCCAGTATGCCCACAAACCATACACTCTTTCCCCCACAGTGCTACAAGCAGCACTCACAGATACATATTTAACCCATCTTCAGATCCCAGGCTGACAGGACAGGAAGGATTCCTACCCAAGAGCTGAGAGTGAACTACAAGTCTAAACACAACATCATCACATAGAACTCCATCAGGCCAACTGTGCCACATGCAGAAAAGTCAAGTTCCCTGCTTTGCTGTTCCTTCCAGTGCCTGCTTGTGATGGGGCTTTTCTTGTTTGTTTTAAAGGTCAACAGCCAGATAGGAGCATGCCAGCCTGTACAGCCTTTTTGAGAGAAGAAGGCACAAGCATCTTCAGCACCAGAAAAAAAACCCAAAGAAACCTGTGAAAGGAAACCTTACAGCACTTAGAATATTTTCACACCTGTCATGCCCAGGAATGATCAAGCACTACAGTTTTTAAACTGGGCAAAACTTTGTAAAGCTGCATGTAAGATCAGTCACCTGCTAAGAACAGCATCTTATCTATGTTGAATTCTGCGCTCCTTTGCAAAACCCAAAGGGGTTTGCTGATCTCACACATAGCAGAATGTTTCCTCTCATCTGGTGTCTATGGCTAATGTCCTTATGCAATATTATTTAAAAGCACTAGAACAAGTCTGATAGAATAAAAGCATCTACAAAGAATACTGCAGTTGCTGCTGCAACGATCCAGCTTGCAGAAAGTGGAACAGCTTACCAAATTATTATCCTAGGGAGGATTCTCCCTGCTTGGCTCCTGCAAGCATCAGTATCTCACTACAAAATGCAAGCAGTGGGAGTTCAGCCTTCAGGAACCCTGTGCAACCAACAGCCACAAAATAAAGCCTTATGATTGATTACCCAGGTTATGACACTTCAGAAATGGTATAGCAAGTATAACTGACCTGCAATCTTTTCCACTCCCCTTTGGCGCTGCAACAGCTTCTTATTCTTTCCAAGCCATTGGCTAGCTCTTCTTCAAGTTCTTTTTATTAAAACCTTTTATCTCCCCACACAGTAACAATTTCTCCTAGCAATCATACCATGTACTCTTATCACTCTTCTAGACAGAGGCATTGGCCAAATCCACTTTGGGAGAAGGGGAAGGATACCACAAACAGTCTGAGTTGTACTTGCATTTATTATGGGAGAGGTGCTTATTGCTTCAGATCATTCTCATAATCAGACAAGCAATGGTTTCTCTTACTCTATTTATATAATTGAAATAACTCACTAGCTAACACTTTCCCAGCTAAATGCATGCCAACCTCCTAAAATGAATTCAAACTTCTGGAGCATGGAGATTACACAACAAGGGTCAGCATGCAAAGCCTAGTGCCAGAGATATGCAGCTGTTTCCCTCACTCACGCTCCCTCCTTCTGATTATTGAACATGAGAATCCCAGTTGTATTCTAGATACAAATGCAAGCATGTTATATTCCAAAGCTGGGAGCTATTCCAAACTGGAGTGCTGGGGACATCCAAGTTTAGCCTACTTGTTAGCATAGCACCCAGCATGCTGAAACCATAGGCATTCATTTCAAAGTTGCTGTACATTTAATTTTCTCTCTCTCCCCTCCCCCCCACCTCAAGACATACTCTAACCCACCAGCTGAGCTCTGTTTCCTGTCAAATTCTTGCAAAAATATCCTAAAACATCTGCTTAAAGGCTTTTGGAAGGCCTATACCATTTTCAAAAATCGTATCAAGAAAAGTAGACCCTGGTTCAGCAGAACACCAAGACATTTGTGTACACATAATTATTTATACTAGCCATTTGCTAGAGGTGAGCAATACTGCTAAATACCTTGTGGAAACAAGCCTGGGAAGAGAAGTCACACAGGTATCAGGACTGGAAAATAACTAGGAAGCAATGGCTGCTGAGATTTGGATATTACAACTAAATTATCTAGATTCAAAGGATTGCATGACTAATGCCAAGTCACTCAGTCTAAAAGCCCATAACAATGGGACACCTTGGAAAAGCAGAGTGGAGTATTTTAGAGTGCTGCAATAATAGCTGTGTAAGCCTCAACTCACATAGCCTAAATTCCATATATGGGTCCCTGTGTCTAGTGTTTTCTATTAGGTAACTCTGGGAGTTATTGGATTCAGGGGCCTAGGCTTAGTCTCCTTAAGGCTGAACTTTTGGGCTACAGATGTTAAAAACAAACAGAAAAATCCCTGCCAGTCAGGTTCTGTTCCCATTTTTAATATGCAATTCTAACCTAAAGACTTGATTCTGCCAAAGTCATCTTCAACAGGAAGAAGGGTTGTCCAACATTGTCATGATCAAATCCAGTTCATTCTGCCAGTAAGATTTATTCTGCATTTTTAGTGGTGTAAACTAAAGGAGAAAATAATCTATGCCTATATAGAGCATTTAAAACATGTATGTTTCTATTCAGATCTTCTGTGCGAATTTTCATGTACTGTTCTCAAAGCCCAGAGGAGAAAGGGGTACTATCTAACATCAGTGTCAAGAGTCATGACCTGAAAAGAATCAGCATTTCTTTAAACCCGTAAGTGCAGAATTGGGCCTAGATACAGTAAGTCGTTATGAAAGAATGGTCTTAATAAAACCAAAAAGACGGTTTAAAGAAAACCTGCTAAGAGCAATGTGCATGCAACTCTCCTGCTGCGCAGCCATTGCTTAATTTATCTGTTCACTCCCCAAACGCACCATACGATACTGCGGGTGTGTCCGAATTAAGCCTCGATGTGTCTTAGGTGCGGTGAGTACCTCTGGGCGTGAGGCGTTTGAGGTCACGGGAACGCTGCACGGCGGATTCCGCCCCTCTGCCCGGCTCCAGCGCTCCCCGCCCCGCGCACCTGGGCCCGCCGGGCCGGCCCCGCGGTGCCCCCGCGCGGCACCGCCCGCACAGGAGCTCCAGCGTTCCAGCCACTGCAG